ACTTCACTCTGAAGGAATTCCTGCTGTAACCCACTTAAAGGAAAGTGGGAGCAGCCATATGCAAAGCACTCATGGAGATATTCCACTGGTCATGACTATTCCTATGCATTCCAGACTTCCTTTTAGAGGAAGTACAGCAGAGCTACTTTACTACCACGCAGTTGTATTCAGTCCACAGACTTGCAGAAACTCCCTACCAGGGTCAGATGAAGGAGGATCTGCTTCAGAGGGACCAGTTGTCACTGCTGCCACATCTCTCTGCACATCAGCACTCGAGTCCTTATCCAGGTCTTCCCCCTCAGCATCAGAGCTCATTTCCATCAAGTCCTGCTCTTCCCCATTTAGTACCCCTCTCACCTCTCCAGCAGAATAACCATCATATCCATCTGGTGGGGTCTCCCGGAATACAGGACTACCCATATTTGGCTCAAAAGCATCATAACCTTCCTCTTTACCAAAAACAGCATCTTGACCCTTGAGCTGGGCTTTGGCCACTGTAACACAGAGCCATGCTAACAATCCAGGCAAAAGGAAATCCATCACAACCACTCCTCTCCCCATTTTTTTCATACAAAAAAACTTCAAGAGCAAGAATAACTATCTCTCCTGCCGCTGGAGTTTATACACACGCACAGTGAGGCGCGCGCTGTCCTGTGGGCCAATCAGGAGCAGGTAAGGAAGCCCAGAACATTCTCACGCGCTGAGGTTTCGGACGCGGTGTTGAGAGTGAAATCACGTGACACAGCTTGACTGCCCGGATACGCTGCGTGATCAGCTTGTTCTTGTATCGTCAGTCTAAACTGAAACAATAAAAATAGAACTTGTAAACAATATTATTAAATCGTGATGAAATGCCGTTGATCGCATTTCACAATGATTCGTCATAATATTAACATTAGAGCCTTAATGCCAATCGCGGTAACTTTCACAGCGTTCGAAGATCTCGCTGTATTGATGACCTGAGCAAATTGAAACGTCAGCAAACACCTCCGTTTATTAATACATTCTGTGCAGCTGATATTGGGCATGACGTTTGAAAGCAAAGGCAGGTGACACTCGTGACAACACCTTTAACACTTTTGTTTTCTTCAAGGTGAGAAGAGTGTTCATAACAGGAACATTTAACCAGTTAATTTCCGTAGTTGTATTCCTAATACGTACGCAGCATGAGTAGCATAACTTTTTACAGACGCAGTTTTTAGTGCAGATGGGGTTCAACAGAAAGTTGAGTGAGAATTGAGATCAGAATGGCACACCATGGTTTCCAAATATACACATTACATTTTTTTGAAGGAGAAGACACTGATTAAGCATTTGATTTATAGAATAATTGTTTCACTGGTGTCTATAGATATTTTATCATTGTGTAATAGAAGAACAATCTAGATAGTTGTAAAACAAAAACACCAGAGCTGTCAACATAGAATTACACTTTTTTATATCACTGCAGGTTTCAATAAAACGTCTTTTAAACTGCAACAGGAGAACTCTTGCTTCTGTCCTCCTCCCATTAACTATGTAAAGCCAGTGCAGTATCCCTGTCTGTGGAGGACACTGCACCTGGGTGTGATATTCAATCCGGGCTCCTAGATGTTCAAAATATTCTAAAAATCAATATTCCTCCACCTTAGTAATCTTATGTCCGATGTTGGCCCTAACTGCACCTCAAACATTAGTCACCCTTTTCATCTTCTCTGAAATTGATTACTGCAATACCCTGCTCACCAGAGTGAACTGGGTATGTCCAGAAGTCGGCAGCCAGAATGCTGAGCAAGTGATCAATCAAAATATTCTTTAGAGGGGTTCTCTGCCTACCCTTTTATTGTCCTACTGCATTCCAAACCCCTTTTTACATTTCTGTAATTCTGCTACCTCCTCTTTGGATTCTGCTACTGTAAACTACACTACACGTTCTAAGTGTCTTACAACCCTTCCCAGTGGATGATTTGTAAATGAAAAATGTTAAGTATACAAAACAATAGTGGCAGCAGTAGCCAGTAGCAAAGACTGCTGTAAAAGCTCAGACTGCTGTAAAAAGCTATATTATGTCCGATGTTGACCCTAACTGCACCTAAATTGTTGGTCACAATTTTCATCTTCTGTGTCTACGTCCACAGTGGACAAATCTGGGTATGTCTAGAAATCAGCAGCCAGAATCCTGCCCAGGTGTTCAGCATGTGATCAATCAAAACATTCTTTAGAGGGGTTCTGTGCCTACCTTTTATTGTCCTGCTGTATTCCAAGCCTCTTTTTACATTTCTGTAATTCTGCTACCTCCTCTTTGGATGCTGCTACTGTAAAGTGGCTTGAGAAGCCATTTTACAGGTTCTATATAATGTTCTTTATAATAGACAACTTGTCTATTTCTGAACAGTGGGGAAATAAAGCTTAAGTGAAACAGTTCTTCCAGAAAAGTACAGTTAGTTCTGCATAACGCATCTGAAGGTCATAAATGATATTAATTTAGGAACATAAACATTAGTGTATGTACGTAAACTGTACTGTGTATGGCTGGTCTTGGTAGTTTAAAGAAAAAATACACACCAGTCTTCATTTCTCCCTAAACATTTTAAGCATGAAAGTTTTATGAAACGGTACCCAAATATGCGATTGCTGTATAGAATGAATTTTAATTTTAAAAAATTATTTAACACAAAAATTAAGCTGTTTACATCTTCCGCCTGAGAACAGTCACCCCTTGCTACCCAACGCAGAAACACAGCCAATAACTAGGACATTAGCTAGCCAATATGATAAATAAATAAATGATTATTTTGTTTATTTCTTCTGCACATTTATTTGAACATTTCCATCGATTGTACAAGCACTTGGAAACTGTCCAATCCCTAGTTCATCAGGCATTTTCTTTTATGCTGGGGGCATTCTCCCGGTCTGTGTCTTCTAGGATATAATGCCAGTGATTTTTTGTTAAATTTGGGTTTCCAATAACGCCGCAGCAAACTCTTGTTTTTATGTCCACTATAACAGACAATCTCCTTTGCTTTTAACCGAGCGTTTAATAATTTCCTAAAATGAAAATAATTTACTTTATCTCCCTTACGGGATCAATAAAAGTATCTACTGTAGGCATGTTTGAGCACCAGACTGGTTCCTCACCCAGGTCCTGATGTAACACCCTTTGTAAGAAGCCACCAGCACCAGCCAGCTCCTGGTGAACCACACCTTCCTCATCCAGACCAAGGAGGTTCAAAAGCAGCTCCCAACAACTTGCTTTCACAGTGCATGATGGCTTTGCCTAATTCATATCATTCCCCATTTGGGGAAGCAGATAGCAGTAAGGGGATTTCTCTCCCTTGATAAAGTTACAAAAGTGAAAGATATGGTGTAGAACTATAGAATTACAATCCTTTGTATAGAAAAGCCTTCATTCACCCCATCAGAAAATATGAAATTCAGATCCTTACCACTTTCAGGTCCTCAACTCCAGAGGGTCCAGGCATCACAGCTGCCACATCTCTCTGCATGTCTGTGCTGCTCTCAGAGGCCACATCAGTATTCAAGTCCTTGTCCATCTCCTCCCCTCCCTCAGAGTCAGAGCCCATTGCCGTTAAATCGTGCTCCTTCCTACTCTGTGCTACTGAATCTTATCTCACACCTTTCAGCCCTGCAACAGAACCTCCTCCAGCAGAATAACCTTCATATCCATCTTCTGGGGTCTCCTGGAACGGAGGACTAACCAAACTTGAGTCAGAGCCAGCACAACCCTCTTCATCAAAAAGACCACGTTTGAGCTGGGCTTGTGCTACTCCAACACAAAGCCATACTAATAATCCAGGCAGAATTAAAACCAACTCTCTCTCTCACACACACACACACAACCATGCACGCGCGCTGAGGTTTGGCCCGTGGAGTTGAAAGTGAAATCACGTGACACGGGTTGACAGCGCAATCACACGGGATGTCGCTGCATGTTCTACTTGCTAATGTATCATCGGGCTTAACTAAACCAATAAAATTCCTACCTTGACAAAGGTTAAAAGTTAACAGTAAATGTCATTAGTGCAACTTGTAAACCACCTTATTTTTGTAATGCTCCAGGGTTTACATGGGCACCCTCACCGCTGCCTCATCAGATCGGCCCCCGACCGTCAGGGACTCAAACCCAGGCCTCCCGCATCACTCAACAGGGACCCAGCCTCTTGAGCCAAAGGGAAGTCTCCCATCAGCCCAGCAGCTGCGGTCCCTGCTATTCACAGGGAAGGGCGGTGACGTCACCGCTCTGGTAAGCCAGCTCTCGCAAGCAATGGAGGCCGTATGCGTTACAATATGAAAGCATGCTGAAATGCCGTTGATCGAATTTCATAGTGCAGTGTTTGAATTTGCTGCAATGTGGATTGCTGCGATGTGGAGTTCTCGTGTTCGAAGATCTCACTACTGTATGTTGATGACCTGAGCACTGTGCGACGCCAGCACACGCCAGTACTGTATTACAATACATTGTCACGAGCTGATATTAGGCATGCAGGTTGAACGTGACGTCAGGTGACACGCATGGAAACACGTTTTTTATATGAGGTTCTTGTTGTGGTGAAAAGTGTGCTCTTAGCAGAAAGATTCAATCAGTTAATTTCCATACTGCTGTAATACGGACACGGCATGAGTGGGCATAATTTAAAACCAGTTTTCAGTGCACATCAGGTTCGGCTGTATTGCAAGATATTGCATAGTTGACAAAGCTAATAACTATGAAAATACAGAAAGCTCAGTAAGAACTGAGAACAGAAAATGGTAATATGGTTACCAAACATACATGTATAGAAAATCTTTTTTTAAGGACAAGACACTGATGCAACACATTATTATTTAATTTTATTATCGTTTAATAATCAAATAATAATCTATGCATTTGTAGAATAAGAACGGACACCTGACGGCATATAGTTAGTAACTTTTCCATGCGGAAGCAGGATCTAAAGCAGTCCTGAATGGCACAGCTCCTTGCAGAAGGATGCAGGTCAAGGTGCTTCTGTGCTGTACTTTTTAAAGTTTTAGTTTCCTACATTTCCTCGGGCACCTCCCATCAACTATGTAAAGTCAATGCAGTAACCCTATCTGTGGAGGACACTATACTTGAGTTTCAATCAAAACTGAAGTTGGGTGTGATATTTGACCCGGCACCCACATGTGCAAAATATTGTAAAATTATAATTTTTCCACCTCAGTAATATTGCTACACTATGTCCTACAGTATGTTTGCCCTAACTGTGGCCTAAAAGGTATGTAACCTAAAAGTTGGTCAACAATTTTATCTTCTCTCCATTGTTTACTGACCAGGTGATCACACTACTCCTATCCTGGAGTCCCTGCACTGACTTCCTATCAGGTTTTTTGCCAACTTCACACAAGATCATCATGCTCACCTATAAGGCTCTACACCTCAGTATCCTCTTTAACCAATACAGGGTCGCAGAGGAGCCAGAGCCTATCCCAGCAAGCACAGGAAACAAGGCAGGATGCACCCTGGATGGGATGCCAGTCCATCAGAGGGCACACACACACACTCACATCAGGTCCAATATTCCCAGAAGCCAATGAACCTCCCAGCATGTGTTTTTGGACTG